AGCGACTCAGTCAGTCTATAGGCGGGCGAATTCTTGATGACCATAAGAGTGTCCAAATCCCGCGACGGCTCACGATTTAGAAACGAATCGGTGGTGCTGTACAAGGGAATCTCTATGTATGCGCGCATTGTTATTATAAAGAGACACCTGTTATCCGTGTGAATGCCGCCTTTGATTGTGCCGCGCGCCGCAGAGAGAAAAAAGCCCGTGACTTCAAAGCGTCAAGGATTATATTCACGGCGGACGAGACCCATCCCATAAAAGTATAGCAGCGGGAAAATCGGATATTTATGGAGCAACATTCAAGATTTGACATTCCTTTCCCAGATAGACACACGGAGTCGCAGCCCGGCTTTGAATAATTTGCTCCTTTTGATGTCCGACCATCAGACGGCGGCGACGCTCGAAACGCTGCTAATCAAACACTATAGCATAAAAAAATGTGTGTCAGGTCGCGTCGACAGTGATGGAAATTGGCTTGTTTCAACCATTTATATTTATTGACATTAATTAGTCCTATTATAAAATATAATCTCCAATGCTTTTAGTGGAATTTTGTAAGATGATGGCTTGTGACAGTAAAAGCTTCTGAAATTTCATGAAAGATCGTGATAGTAAAGTTGAGTTCTTTAAATTCTAATAGACGATTCTTAATTGGATTCATTCAGGATCTAAAAGCTCAGATTGAAATCTCAAATTTTCGTTTTAAAAGTTATATTTTAGTTTAGTATCTTTAAATGTCAGATAAATTTGTTATCAAAATAAAATTAAATAATGTGAATTCAATAAATAACTTTTCATAATTCTTTTATACTTCATATGAAACAGTAATATTTTCATATATTATATTAATATATAAAGAAATATTGCTAGGCCAAGATAAAGAATTTCTTCCAACTTTTTATAGAGCTCAACAAATTCCTTGAAGCATGCGATATCATTTTTGCATGTCAATAAAGAAGTTGTTTGGAGCATCAAAATTGAATTCCAGAACGACGCGCGGATATTTGATGTTTCTGTTTGTATGAGAATCGTGGAAAAGCTGCTGCGTGCCGCCCTTTCAGTTTCTCCATTATTATTTTTTTTTCTCGAAGGCTCTCGCATGTGCACATGAAGCAAGCGAGGCATATATAGAATGAGCAAATTGATAGTTTGTGTTGTTGCTATAGGGCTGAGCCACTGTAAAATTGGTGCCCGTGAAGTAGCGTGCGTTGATGATAGTTATTTGAGCCTGCTAGGCTGTAATTGAGCAAGGCATCCTTCGGAGCGCGGCATAAAAAATGAACGCTCCTCTTTATGAAAATGCACCAATTTATCAAATTATCTTGCCGCTCGCACTTTTTGAGTTATGGCGGTAAATCGTAAACCTCCACACAAAGGCAATTTTTCGCCACCGAAATTCCTATTATTGTTAATCCATTTTTCACCAAACTTAGCTTTGGTATGAGAGGAAGGTGGTTGGTTTTTTCCCTGCCAATGACATAATTGTCTCATAAACAAGGTGTTTTGGCCGAGGAAAATGCCGAGATCCGCGATATGAAATTTTTCGGAGCGTTTTTGCCCTCGCGAGCACGGATTCCGATCAGCGGTTCTAATCTAGCGATGCGAGGAATGCCACTTTGTTGCCTCCAAATTTGCCTTTTTTAAGTGCTGCTTCACAATGCAGGCTCGCTTTTTATTGATGTCCGTTCAAAGAGATAAAGAATCTATTAAAATATACTCTCTCAGGGCAGTTGAGTTGGATTTGTAATCTGATTTTGTTATTCAAGCACAGTTCCAACAAAATTAGTATTGAATCCACTAGCAGAGGATGTTTTCAATAAAATTTTGCTTTCCATTGTATCTGCATCATAAAAAGTTTAAATTTCATCGCAATAATTTTTTATTTTAATCCTTAAAACTATACATACAAATTAATGTAATACACCCAAGTGGTGTTTTCTTAAAAAAATTTTAATTATGCTAATTAAAATAATTAATTATAGTAAAAAAAATTATATTTTTGTTATTTATATGAATAACAACAGTTTATATTTAAATTAAAAAAGATATTAAGAACAAAATAGTTTGTATTTTAATTTTGTTTAATTTGTATTTTATAATTTCATTATTTAAGAAAACATTTTGTACATTTACATTTGATTTTAAATTTATTTAAAATTAGTAAATATTAAAAATATATATTTTGATCTCCATCTATAGTCATTCATTAAAATTTAAAAGTAAAAATTGAGGCACTTTAAACATTAGGCTAGGCAGTTTGAAGGAGCGATTCGCACTCATTAATTTACGAAATTCACTGGAATACTGCAAAATTCATAATAATTTGGCTTAGTTTTGTGAAAGGATATGATATAGTCGCCGCAAAGAATAAAGCAATAATTAAGTCATACAAAGTTCCGTGTTGGAAAAGCCCACTTGCGATGTTGGCCGGCACAAAAGGGGGCAGATTTATTTATTAAAACGGCTCATCAATGACACTATCAAGCGAAAAAATATTCCTCTGTTCACTCTATCGCACAATGGGGCAATTTTTTAGCCCACTATCTGCGCGCCGCTCATAATTCTGCGGCTCTCTTTCTTTTCTTCTCCCGCAGCGAGAGGAAAAAAACAAGCCGCTTTTCTCTATTCTCTTTTTGTGATAAAGACTTTTTTGCTCGGTGTGTGCGCGAGTTGTATTTTCGGCGGGACCGGTTAGTTCGAAGGCCTCGCTGGCCCCTGACCTTTCTCTGCCTATGCAAATGCGCGCGATTTGTAATTCAGGTAGTAATTTGGCACCGAGATGCCACTAATGGCGCATAAATTTGGGAAACGGCCATTTTTATTATTCGCCTCGTTAAGCAGCGAAAAAGTTTGTTTTCTTTTCCCTCTTGCGCGCGTGATTGGGAAAGGATTGGTGGAATGCAAGTCGAAGGAAGAGTGTCACAAACAGGATCTCATCGCGTTTCTTTCTCGTTTGCCTCGCACGGCACACGCAGAGTTGCAACGCGGGTCACTCGGTTTAATTGACAGGCGTCGTGTCTTGCCACAGATGCAGATCGGTACAAATTTTATTTAATTAAGCAGAAATGAGAGACGCGGATGTTCAAAGTTGGAAGTCATCAGGCGCGTTGTCGGCAACATTTTCCTCCAATCACGCTTGAATTCACACAAGGAAAATGTTGATCTCTGCTTAAAAAAATAACATTTCTCTTAATTTATGTGGTTAAGTCATTTTTGTACAGTCATTAACGTTGGATGCCTTCATCTGGGAACGAATCGAATAAATTAAATGGCCACATGCAATTTGCCAAAACGAGTTTAAATATCTCCTGTGTCAAATCATTTATGGAGATTTTAAGAAATTGTGAATTTAATTTTTCAATCCAACCTGTTTCTATAAGTGGTTAACATTAAATAATTTTCAAGTGCAATGATAATTCCAAATTTAAACCTCTTAAGATATAGGTTAATTGGACGGTTAAGTTAATTTTATATAGATTATAATTGTGGTATTTAAAATCATTAGCCTAATATTAAAGATTTTTAAAATTTCTTAAATCTCTATTGTTTTTTTATTAACATCCATTTTTTTTCTTTATTTATTGAAAATCTTATGTAGTAAGTAACTAATTTTTTTACTGCAACAAATTTAACTGTAATTTACATAAATTTTTTGAAGCCTGCTGGAAAGGTGCTTTTTTATTTTTAACGTTTGAATGAAAAAAAAAAACAGTCGAGCACACAGTTTCTGCGGTGACGCGCGAGCGAGTAACGCTGCCGCGCCGTGCGCTGGTGTTTTTTCCCCATTTTATTTTAGTTATTTATTGTTGTTGGTGATGCATAGAATACGCGCGTGCCCCGGGTGATTAATGTCTTTTGCTGCAACATGCCACCCAGTGCATGGTGTGAATCAAGTGCTCATATTTCAATACACACATATGAATGTAGCAAGGGTATACACACATTATATGAATGCCAGAATTCTCTTTCCTCTTTTCGTTTTGTGCTCCACCGGCGCTTCTCAAATTCCACCCATCAAATTTGATTAATTTTCGAATTTCGCTGCGCACAATGGCCAGATTGTGTTGTTGTTCTGGTTCGTCGCCATTTTCATCTCATTCGAATTCACCCGCGATTTCGTATTCAATCAAGATTGCTAATTAGCAAAACGAAACGCGCCCACGTTTTATTCACAAGAGTATAATGCTCGCGGGCCGGTAATTGAAATTTCTCTCTTGAGAGCCAGCGAAAAATTGCGCTTAACAAAATTCAACACGGAGCACTGATTAAACCAGCAAGTAATTTAATTAAAATGAGATTCTCACACACCGCGCTGCTGCAAATATTAATTTCTATAATAGAAGCGAGCCGAGTGTAGTAAATTTACGATATCGCCCGCAAGAATAAAAAGAGCGGAGGTGGAGAGTTGCGCGGCGGCAGCGGCGACGGCCGTGTTATTTTTTGTCAGTTGCGTGCCTCATTCATTTCCATCATGCTCATTCTCAACACAAGGCTATTTGTGGTACCCTTTGTATGCCAGGCGGCGCGTAATTGAAATTACAATTATTATTATGGGCAGATCAAATCTTTTTCACGTGCCCGGCGACTGAACGCTTCATAATTAAATATTTCTCTGTGTGGATGGTAATTTTCCACGGATTTATCTGATTCGCTCTCGCTTTTATACAAATTGCATTTCTAATGAGAGAGGAATTCTTAAATAAAGTTTTAATTAAATAGCCGAAATCCACGCATAGGAATAAATTTGAAAGTTGGTTTATGCATTTTTTTTCAGAGTCATTGACAATGCAGAGGGTCAAAATTTCCACTATTTCAGAGTGGAAAAAAACAAACTAATGGAAAACAATCACTTTTAGCGTCCACCTACGTTTTATTAAAAAAAGCGTTTTCTTTGACTGCGTCGGCCGCGGCGCACAAAGAGTGATTAATTGGTAAAATTAGTTGCACCTGCGTGGTTTGGGTGGAGCGTGTCGAATTCGAGCACGAATTTATTGCGTTCAGACAAAGAACGAGGCGGTGACCACGAGGGCCGCCAGCAGGGACGCGATCGCCCCGAACGGGTGGGGCAGGGCGAAGGACAGCGCCGAGAACAGGAAGTAGGGCACCCACATGTTCCAGCTGCCGGTGTAGAAGATGTTCTCGCTCACAACCAGTGCCAGGAATATCACAGTCAACATCACAGGGTAGTAACGCACGAAAAAGTTCTCAAGTCGCGACCAAGTTCCTGTCGGGGCGGCCGTGGTTGGGTTTCGGCTCAGCAGGAGGTCCTCAACGGCCATCAGAGACGCGTCTGCCGCGTCCAGCTCTCGCAGGCTTTCCGAAATTCGCGTCTTGGTGGAATTTTCTTCAAATTTACCCTGATTCACCTGAAATTTAATCATTTTTTTTTCAAAGGAAATTTTAAATAAAAAAAGTTTAGAAATTAAGATTTTTTTTTAGGGTCAGGCCAAGACAAAGTGTCTTGTCGGCCTGTGCCCTTGTTTAATAAAATTTAGGATTTCTCTTCATACGTTTTCGTTAGTTTTCTTGAGCGTGTCCAGGACACTATCCAGTTTCTCTCTAACAGCCCGACCAACCTCATTTCCGTCAAAACTTCTGCCGTTGGTGCCGGAGTCTATGCTGTCTCTCACTTCGGCCAAGGTTCTTTCGACCTCACTGTTTCGCTGTTGTAAATCAGAGATGGTCTTGGCGCTGGACGTCTTCAAAGCGCCGTTCTCCCGCACCAGCTCTTCCAGTCGGACGCTGCTAGCGTCCAGTATGTCCAACGCGACCTGAATTTCGGAGGCCATGTTTTCCGTGATGACTTTCGCCTCCTCGTTCGCCTTCCGTTTCTCCTCCAGCTCCTCCTCAAGTTGAGCCAGGCGTTGCTGGATTTGCAGCTGCTCTTCCTTGCTCAGGGTGCCGCCAGTCAACTTCACGTTCAGGTCGTTTCCTTGTTCAGAAACTTGGTCCAGCTGAATTTGAAAATTTAAATTAAAAAGAAATTAGGTTTAAACTGATTTTACCTCATTCTGCACGCCGAGCTCGTTTTGGTTCAAAATTTCTTTCATCCATTCCAACTCGCTGGTGATTTTTTGGTTGTTGCTCCGATAGGTTTCGATGATTTTTTCCTTCTCGTCAACATTTTCTCTCAAACTTTTCGCCTCACTCTGGCTGGCTTCCAAGGCGGTCTGCAGTTGCCGTTTGCACGCCTCCAGCGCTCCGATTTGAAAATTTAATTCCGAGAGCTGCGACTCCTTATCACCGATGGCCTCTTTCATCAAACCGATCCTCTTAGAACTGCTGTCCTCCAGTTGCTTCAAAATGTTCAAAATGCTTTCCAGCTCCGCCCGCGTGTTTTGTAGCAGAGTGTCTTTTTCTTCAGCCTCTGCCTCTAGATTCTATTTAAAAAAATTAATTTTGATTTTAAAAATGTTAAATTAAAAAAAAAAATATACCTTAATTTGCAGAAGCTTCAGCTCAACTTCGCCCTCCAGGTGTTCCAAGTCCTTAAATGTTCCATCGACCTCTGTTTGCATTTGTCGCCGCGCGCCAGCTCCACATCCTTCCTTCAACTGACCGATTTCTCGCCCGAGTCCCTCGATCTCTTCTTCGAGTTGTTGCACCTGCCGGCGGTGCTCCTGCGCCTCGTTGGACAACAACTCGGCCGAGTTGCGTCTCTCCTCCTCAGCTGTGTGCATCTCATCCCTGAGACGCTGCAGTTCCTTCTCCTTGGCCTCCGCCTCTTCCTGCCGCTGGCCCAGATTTGTCTGAACTTCGCTCAGGTCAACAGGTCCCGAGGTCATTTGCAGCAGGTACTCGTTGTAGCGGAGACGCAGGTAATTCATCTCTTCTTCTTTGACCAGGGGCGAGAGGTCGACGTTGCAGGTGATGTGCCTTCGGTTAATAAAATCAACAGGTCCATTCTTTATAGTTTCCAAAATCGTTTCACGGCTCAAAACTTTGGCACCAATAGCGTCAGGATTAGGTATTTCCTTAGGTTCCATCTTCAAAAGTTATTTAAAAAGTGTTTATAATATTTTGAAAATTTTCCAAAAATGTCACCGTACTTTTAAGTTCTTTCCAACAATCACTTTTTTTTTAGATTAACAACAATAAAAAAATTTCAGTTATAATTTTCAATTGTTGATCGCATTTAATTTTATTTATTTGCATTTACACCTCAATACTTTAAATTTTACAATTGTTGCTCTTAAAAATTTGAAAATTCTCAATTTTGGTATCTCCAAGTTTTGAAAATGAGCGAGAGTAGCAGCAGTAAAAATGGCAGCCCGACTCTGTCGAGCGCCAAAACAAGCCTCGCTCCGTTGAGTACCAAAGTCAGCCCGTCGTCAAGTACTAAAGTCAGTCCTTCGTCAAGTGCACCGCCGTCCAGAATCAACTCAAATACCACCTTGACCACCGAAGATCTTCTGCCTTTGGTCGAAGTCATCAATCAGCCCATAGACCAAATTTCTGACCTGCTGGAGGAAAAACTCAGTGTGGGCTTTTTCAACCATCCTGGCCGTTCCAGCTTCGTCCCTGAAAGAGTCTCGTTTGCCAACGTCCACAGGTTTATTTCGTAATTTTTAAGCAAAAAAAATCTTATACACATCAAAAGTTCAAGTTTCAAAGGAGAGGTCGCGAGTGGCTGTGAAAGTGGTGGCGAGGATGACGAGACGGTGCTCAATTTCTCAATGCACGTCAAGACGCGCACCCCCGTTGTTCGCAAAGATGAGTCAGAAAAGCCCCTGCGAGACGACACCTATGACCCCATCAGGTACAGGCCGCAGGTGCTGATTAATGACTGGTACGAGGTGAGCCAGCGACGGGAGCTGAACAAAGGGCGCCATCTGAAGCTACAAAAGGGCCCGCACACGTCAGCCTACGACTGGCACTACCAGCCGCCCTTTGCCAAGAAAATGGTGGACCCTGAGGAGGTAGCTTTTTGAAATTACATCTTATCAGTTTAAATATCAAAAGAGTCCTTAATATTTAAATGAGACAGTTTCATCAAAAAAAGTTATTGCGTAAAAATGGATTAAAAAAATTTGAATGGAGATTCAGTTTGATTAAATTAAATTTTTTAACAGTTGTAATTGCCTTAAGATTTAACAATCAACATATTTACAGCAAATTTGTAAAAATTGTTAATTTTAATTGTATTTTGTTCTGTTTCAAGTGTGCTAGAAGGAATGAGACGCACTCTCGACGCCTATGGACGTACTTGACAGACCCAACTGAGTACTCTGAAAACTTCAACGAGCCCTACAGGAAAAAGTAGAATTCACCCCAGCAGAATATTAAAAATCGAAACTCCTTCCCATGAGCATTAAAGCCAAAAAGTTTTATTCCCATCTGAATTTTTATCCAACCGGCGTCATATTGAATGCGTTTGTGGCGAGTTTTATTTGTGTGTGTACCAAGAGAGGAACCGGCGGGCGAGCTAACTCCTCTCTGACATGATAGGCACGGAGTCGAACCAATTTGAATGCTCAAAATGAGCACCAGAAACGCAAACTGGCCCCGCACGAGCGAGCGAACGAGCGGGGTCGTGGTTTGCTTGCCCCGCCTCGAAACTAACTCCAAAGAGTTGTGCTTATACCATGCATGCACACCGCACGACGGCAATGGTAATTAGGCCACCCAGTCCATCAATGTGAGCACGCAGATTGCCCGAATATAAAAAGGCCCTTTTCCCTCTCTTCCATTATTATTCCTCTCGCCGAGAGAGTAAGGATCATTAAGCGCCTTGAAAAAACACACGCCATCCAAAATTTAATCGACTTTTATACATAAAAGTTTTTCTCTCTCTCTCTCGGAGAGCGGGCGCGCGTGTAATAACAATCTGGCTCTATGCGGTGTATTTCAAACAATTCACGACGAGAGAGTCAGGTAATCATTATTATGGTATATATTTTGTGTTTGTGCGCTAATAACAATGCCTTAATTGCTTTTTCAAATAGCGCGCAACGCCTGCTATGTGCTCAGTTTTCGAGGCACTAAATAATCATTCGGAGGAGCTGCACGTGGGCCGTGCGCATCGCTCAATATCTCTCTTGTCTGCATATAAGAAACAAACAGGCGCGATAGGATTAAACCACAAAATGGTAATAGTCTTTGGTGCCACGAGTTTATTAGTTTCAATGCAAAACTCACTTCAGTTTTTTCTTTTTAAATAATGTTAATCTCTTCAAGGCTATAATCGTTTTATTGTGAAAACCAATACACTGAGTTTTAAACGGAAAACTGATTTTATTTTTTAATTCAATTTTTATTTTGGAATTTTGCTGAAACTTTTTTATTGCTCAAAACTTGAATTGGGAAAATGAATGAAAAGAAAAATAAGTGTTTTTAGGCATAAAAACAATTATACACGTATTAAATTTCTATAATTTTTTTACACACACTTAATATTTCTTGTTTTATAACAAAAGATTAAACTATGTTACTTTTTAAATATAATAATTTTTATTTCATAATATAATATTTAAATTTATTTTGTGATTTTGGCGTTGCTTGCTTATTAATGAGTATGGTGAGAACTCAACTAAAACAAAATACAAAATGTTGTTTCAAAAAATATTTAAATGCAATAGAACCATTTGCTTGCATAATGGAATTATTTAATTGCTCTGTTAAATACATGATCATACCTTATCTTTAGATTTAAGTTTTTAAAATCATTCAATTCAATTAATTTATTCTCTATCAAGCAATCAACACAACAAGCAAAAAGTTCTCATTGAAATGTAATTGGCCGCAAGGCTGCAAGCTTCCAGTTCCACTAATATAAATAGCAAAAACTTCGTTTTTAACTGTGAGCATAAATATATCAGATAATACCAGAATCTATAAATAAATAAATGATTAACCTTTTTTGAAAATCCTTAATGTAAAAACATCAACATTAGGAATTGTGAAATAGAAGTGTGACAATATTTTGTATATCATTATCAATAGAATTTTGTTTTAAAACTGAAAGAAAGGAGTTTGTGCAGGATTTGGGGCCTATATTTTTCAAATTACTGACTGTGCAAAATGAATTATAACAAAAAATTCAGAGTTGAATAGCAATGATCTTATTTTTATTATGATTTTTTAGGGTTCAGTGATGAGAACGGCAGAATAAGCAGAGCACATTATTAATTTTTACTTGCTCGCCAGCAGCTTCGTTTCAAGCTACATTTGGCACCTGAGCAACTTTTTGCAATAACCGGCAAAATCTTAAGAACTTTTTGCGTTCCGCCGGCTAGGTCGGAAACGCAGAGCGACGCAGAAAACAAAACGATGTTATCAGAAAGGGCGGCTGATGAGCAAAGTGCGGTGTAACTAGCACTAAACTTTGAGCACCAGTTCCATTTGACTGCTGATGGGCTTCTTTTAATTAAGCCTAATGAATTGGCCGGGGTATCTCTTGGTCCGCGCGTTTTAATTTTGCGCCGGCCCCGAGAGCGAAAGAGAACAAAGGGCTCCTTAATGGTGTTGAAATAAGAGCGCAATTTTGAGAAAGAGCAACCTGTAAGCGTCTCGAGAGTCGACGAGGAACAACAACATTACCATTACGCCGCCACCGCTATTGCCAATAACAGTTTGCATTATCAGCCCGCCGGCTCTCATCCTCCTCCATGCTGTAGTCGCCACTTTCCACGGGCCACGCACAGATGGCACGCGGTGCATTGTTTTAGCACGAAGAGCATAAGAGGATGGAAAGACTTGCCTCTGGCGCATATACAAAAATCCAAAAAATCAGAATCATTGATGAAATAACAAATAACTGGAAAATTTAATAATTATAACAAATTATTATCAACTTTCCACATATTTTTTTTAAGATTAAATCTTTTGAGTGCTATTTCAACTTAAACTTTAATTTTTAATTACTCGAATTATTTCATTAAAGATGTAAATATGTATGCATAATGGATTAAAACTTAAAAATGTTTCATGCAATATACGACGCTTATAATTCGATTCACAGGATTTTAAAAGAAGACTAGAAAAATAAAAAAAATGCAAATATGAAAATGTAAAAGAAACGTAAAAGATTAATTTATAACACATATTATGTTAAAAATATTATCATCTTTTACATTTAAATTAAATTTTCATTATATTCAACTCACAATGAAGATGAATATGGAGATTTGAATTTTTTTCTTCCACATGATTGCAATGGATACACATTCTAAACAACATCCTTGTAGAAAAATGATATGATTTAGTTTGACCTTTTTTGCTGAATTAACAAAATAAATTAAATAATATAATCCACAATCTACTGAGTAGTTTATAAATATAATTAAAAATATGTAAATATTTTGTCATTTTCGAGTTTTGTGAAGAGATAAAAACGGTGATGCTCCCAACTTGTCATTCCCCACTCAAAGTTGCTATTTTATGCAGAATTAATGCAACCACGCAGAATTACTTTCACCCCTGCCCGCTTTTGGATATTATTCGGAGAGAGCAAAAAGCATGGGGGAGGCCGCAGGTTGATGGATGGTGCGGTCAACTAATTTCGATCTGGTCGGCAGAAAAATCAGCAAGCGGTGGAAAAATCAGAGCGCTCTCGCGTATACATAAAAATTTATTGTGGGTTTTGCTGCTGATAGTCGGGTCGGTCGGCTCACTGGCTAGCTGGCGAGATATCGCTCTCTTTCTTTCTTGGTGGAGCAGGACAAACGACAAAGAAAGAGAAGAAAGAAAGAAGTGGATGGCGGCGAGTGAGAGAGAGTGGCAATAAATCTAAGCTGCAGATCTGTCTTCCAGATTTAGCCTGCTTTGTCTCTTCTTTCCATCTACCAAAATGGAAGAGAGAGAGCAACAAAAGCGAGTCGCAAGAGAGGAAGCCGGGCGCAGCGGAAAATCAAAAGCCCCGGCTAATGAAGGCACTTTCGGCCGTCAGACCTCACCACCACACCCTTATCGCCCCCTGAATATTGGCACTAATTGCATAAATTATCCTTTTGGCGATGCCGGCTGCGACCGGCCGGCATTCCTTATCAGCAATTACAGGTGGAAATACACGGGCATTAAGCGGAATAAACACGGCAACACACACATGCAGATCTGCGCCGACTGATGTCCGAGGAGATTTTGCTCTTTTAATCCGGCGCTGTTTCGAAATGTTTAAATAAATGATGGCGGCGAACAGCTTTAGAGTTGGCATTCACCTCTCTTTGACTTGATACTTTTTATTATAAATTTTTCTGATCTTCAAGATTTCTCTGAATATTTTATTTTGCAATTTAATTAATGAACTTGTAAGAAATTATCAATTCATATTAAAAACATATTGTCGCTTTGATATTTAAATCTTATTTATTTATTCTTCATACCTTGAAAAAAGAAACATCTTGAATTTAATCAGGAATTAATATTCATTTAAATATAATATTGATACATTGATAAAACACCAAAAGCGTGCCTCTAAGAACAGAAAATACAAAGAAGTTTACAAAATATAATATAAAACTGAAAAAAAAAAACGTAATAAAATATTTTCTATTTCTGTTTCACTTTCCAAATCAAAATTTTTTAAACCACATAATTGCACTTTTGTATCTGTAAAAATAAATAATCTGTGTACTGCTGTGTGCAAATCATTTATAAATTATAATATACTCTGAAATAAATTAAATTTAACATGTGAATTAATATTCTGACTTCTGACATTATTATATTTATTTATTTTTGTATTACAAAGACGCCTGCAATTAAGGTAATTATTAAATTTCCTATATTAACATAAACTAACCAAAAGCCATATAAACCTAAAATATAAATAACTTTTGATCCTTATTTCCAATCCATACTAGAATGTACATATTATTTTTATTTCATTGCAAAAATATGACTGAATATTTAGCTTAATTATATTTTGAGAAGGGGGATTGTACAGTAATTATTCAAGCTGTAAGTAATGAATGAATGAATATAAAATTGTACAGAATTTACGCGTGTGGGGGTTTTACCTTCATTATGGCTCCAGCTCGGCAAGTAGGTTGAACTTGGAAACGTTTTTGCTTCCAGATTGGGCCTATGGGTTTTGATAAGTTGTTTACTAAAGCTGCGGGCTGCGGCTGCCAATTCACTCCCAATATTACTTTCCCATTTCTTATATATGACTGGTTGCGAGAAAATATATTAAATGACTTTGAAGTTACCAGGACAATAAATACCTGAGATTTGAGAAATGCTTTATTGTTTATAATTATTTTTGTAGTTTTCTCAAGCTTTTGTTGAAATATAAATTTTCAGTATTTATATACCTTCTGCATTCACAAATTTTAAAACAATTCGCTTGCAACGGAAAGTGATTCTAATTTTCTTTTATAAATAACTAAACAACGTTTATCACAACCTACATACTTGATTATAATTTTAATTTTTATAAAAAAAATACATTTATAAAATTACTGCAATTAACACTATAAATTTTACAATTTTATTTTCTGCCACAAAAATAATCTCAAAAATAAAAAATTAATTTTATTAAATGTTAAAAATAAATTTTTTTTGTATAATGCTTAAAATATTCTAAAAATTTAATATTTATTTTAAAATTACACTGCTTTGAAAGTAAATTAACTTTTCTTTGCATTTACTTCTATTAACGTTTAACTACTA